GGGAGCTCAAGGGCGAAAGACTTCTTCCCTTAATAAAGTGACTTAAGTGACTGACTTAAAGTGACCAATACTCACAGCCAATTCTCAGTCTGTCACATTAACAAAAGCAACTTGCCTGTTTGCCCATCACGATCCGTCCCATAAACTATACGTACAAATGTATAAAAGTAGACAATTACAGTCCGTTATACTTTAATAAAGGTAATCGGCACAATCACATGGATTGATATGTTTCGCTGCTTTACAGAGTCGTCATTAAATTGCCATGGTAACGATTAATTACGCACCAAGTTGATCTGTTATTTTTAGGTAGAACCAATTCGCGTCTTGATTACGGGAGCAGCTGGACATATTGGATATGATTTGGCAAATCTCATTGCACATGGTTCCATGCTGGGGAAGCATCAGCCGGTTATTTTGCACCTGTATGATGTACCAGGCATGTTACCCTACATACATGGTCTGGCGAGTGAGCTGAGGGATTGTTCTTTGCGGCCACTCGAGAAAGTAATTGCAACAACCGATATTTCCGTCGCATTCGCTAATATAGATGTGGCTATAATGCTAGGATCTATAAAAATCCAGGAGGGAATGGAAAAGAAAGATATATTAAGCGACACTTTAGCTCTATTTAGAACACACGGCGAGGCCCTTGAAAGGTACGCGAAAAAAGTGGTTAAGGTAGTTGTCGTCGCTCACCCGGCAAACACAAACGCATATATTTTGACCAAATTTGCGCCGTCTATCCCTAAGAACAATTTCTCGTGTCTGCTCCGCCTCGATCACAATCGCGCTAAAGTGCAGGCAAGTAAAAGCTAATTTTTTCCCTATCGTGTACTTTAAACAAATTCTTGATATAAATAGTCCAATTTTGTAGCACTGTGTATCCACTCATAGCTCCTCCAAGAAGCCCCGCCATTATATTCATATATACTAAATTAGGAGACGGGACTTATTAGAAAAAAGAAAATGTTTTGCCCAGGCCTGTTTGTTTACAGATACGAAACCCGGCCTGAGCTTACTGTCAACAGATAAGAATAAAGGGGCCAAATGAAATAATCTTTGGCTGAATAACTGAGGTAGGCTGGGCCAGAGACAACAATCTGCATCCAGGGAACGCTTAAGGCTGGACGCTCGGCAACAGCCTCGATGTTCAGATTGTTCGAAGTTTTGTGTATAATAATGAAGAGAGCATGACTTTGAAATTCCCGAAAATTCATATTTTTAAACCCCAACTTCTACCTGCATCGAAGTTAGTCCATAGACAATAAAATTTTACCGATCTTCTCATTGTGCTGGCTAGAAAAAAGACAAACGTCCTTGACGTTAATTACTCTCCAATATAAAAATGAGCAACGATACCTTTCGCCTCCAATTCCCATTAGTTTACGGTGCTCCGGTTCCGCACTTGATATATGAATATATTTACGCTTTTAATTCAGATGCTTTCCGTTACGGGCTTGCAGTCGTTTGCGACGGCGACAGCAGGTGGACATGTGTATCCACGTTTCGTACATATGAATGTATAAAACTGTTTAGCACTGCATATCTATGCTTAGATCATCCCCAAGATACTTTCACTCATATTATAGCAGTTAATTCTATCCTTTTCTTAGATCGCCAAGCGCTTGGGAGTTTCGTGCGGTGCCGTTCACAACGTTGTGGTCTGGGGTTGCCATGGAAATACGGAATTCCCTGACCTCTCACACGCCTATGTTATACGCGGAAATAGGAAGATACCCGTTCCGATGGCCCTCGACAATGAGGACTGGACCAAAAATGCCTTTGTAAACCACATTCGGGATAAGAGCGCTGCGGTTTCAGCGGAGGCAATGAAGGCAATAAATGCATGCGTCGCGGCTCGGGCCATTATAGATCACATGCATGACTGGTGGTTCGGCACACC